GTTCACTCATTTATTTGCTTATACTTACCGAGAGTCTACTGTAGGGCAGACCCTCTGCTAGGCCTTGGGAATCCATCAAAGGGGCTCCCTTCGCTGCAGCTACTGAGAAACAGACACACAAATGGGGCCCCAACAGAAATGTGCCAGGTGTCATGGAGGCAACCAGGAGCACCCCATTTGGTCTGGACTTGGGGAAGGCTTTACAAAGCAGATGATGTTCAGTTGGGCTTTGAAGTGTTCTGAGGCAGACAGGGTAGCCACAAAGAGAGACTTGCATGTTCAAGAGAGATCTCTTGGTGTGTCTTGGGTAACGTGTGAAGGATGGAAGGCAGCAGAGAGAAATCATGTCACCTCATGTCACTCTCCCGCTCAAATCCCCTCACTTCCCATCTCACTAAGAGTAAAAGCAGGCCGGGTGTGGTGGCTCACACCTGTAATCCCAGCACTTTGGGAGGCTGAGGTGGGCGGATCACCTGAGGTCAGGAGTTCGAGACCATTCTAACCAACATGAAGAAGCCCTGTCTCTACTAAAAGTACAAAATTAGTTGGGTGTGGTGGTGCATGCCTGTAATTCCAGCTACTTGGGAGACTTAGGCAGCGGAATTGCTTGAACCTGGGAGGTGGAGGTTGTGGTAAGCCGAGATCATGCCATTGCACTCCAGCCTGGGCAATGAGCGAAACTCCATCTCAAAAAAAAAAAAAAAAAAAAGAGTAAAAGCGAAAGTTCCAACCAAGACCTAGAAAGGCCATCTATGATTTGACCCTGGGGCCTATGGGACCTCCAGCCACGCTGGCATCCTGTGGTTTTGGAGGGTCCCTGTACTCTCCCTTCCCCTGATGGAAGCTCTGTTCCCAGATACCCACCTGGCTCGAGTGGTGCTTCCTTCAGGTCTTCACTCACCAGTGAGCTGCTCCTTTGCCTCTCCTCTCTCTCCCCTTCTCTGTTTTATTTTTCCCTCTAGCTGTTAATAGCAGCAAACATTCAATCTATTTTGTTTATCTTTGTTTACTGTTTGTCTCCTCAAAGAAGAAGGGAAGTCTATGAGGGCAGAAGCCCTGTTGGCTGTTGCTTCATTGCTGTATTCCTGGTGCTTGGAATAGTACCTGGCATATAGCAGGTTTGCAGTAAATATTTGTAGAATGACTGCAGAAAAAGAGTTATCAAGGACTATGTAAAGTTAAGGTTTCTAGCTTTTATCTGGAAGGCAAAAGGAAGCTGTGGACATTTTTAACCAGGGTGAGATAACCAGGTCTGTGTTTTCTAGGATACTAACTCTGTTGGCGACAGTGATAGAATGGTGGGTGGGTGCTGGGAAGGTGGGGAGAAGCTGGAAGCAGAGAGGAAAAGAAGGATTTGAGGAGAGTTTTAAAGGTGAAATGACAGGTGAAAATGCATAACTCTGATTTTATGCATCAACCCAGAAAACCGCTTTTACTTAAGTTGTTTTTATTTCTCATACGCAACAATCCATCAGTATGAAATCAGTTCTCATTTTGAGGCAAAGAATGCTTCTGAATCCTTGCTTGCAGAAAAGCAAGCTAGACTGCAGAGAATGCATTCGGGTCAGGCTGCTAGCAGGGAACTGATCAAATGGAGCTCTTCTTTGGAACTGCATCTATACTTGTTACACATCTCAAAGGCAACCTTCCTCACATGATAAGGTGATGTAACTTTTCTCCACCACCCCGGTTAATCTCAGCATCACATTTCAGTATTTTGTTTCCTTCGGCTTCAAGGTCCTCATTCAGTTTGAGATTGTCCTCTTCCCTTCCTTTCTGTCCATGCTCTCATAAAACTTGCCAGTGTTCTATCATCTCCTCCTCCCTTTGCCCTTTATTTGGTCACACCTCACCTACTCCACTGTAAGTTTCTTCTGGGATTGTCGCTTCTGGACCTTCTTTCACGCTGGGCAAAAATGCCTGGAACGCTTTTATAGAACCAATTTATAAGTCACCTCCTCCTTCAGCACCTCCATTTTCATCTACCAGCCAAGGACCTTTCTTATGTTTTAAGAAAACAGCAGGCTACTCTCAGGTATGGAAGACTCAGAAAAATGTACCATCATCTACTGTTCTCCAAAAAAGAATTACTTGAAAATACACTGTAGCTGACTGAGACATGACTACATCAAAATGCAGAATGGAAGTTATGCTGGACTGGGACTGGGGGTCCATCCTTGGATACCAGCAGCAGCACAAAGACTCAACGTGGAAAGCTGAGAAGTGAACCCTCAGCATACACTGACTGACTTGCCACACCAACAAATAGCAAGAATGGAAGGTCCTTCCTTGCTTTCACAGTGACATCTGAAGGAAGCTTCATGAAACTGCTTATTCCTTAGGAATTGTTTTAATCCTGTAACTGGAATCTCTCTGTAAAAGCTTCTCCCTCAAGAAGAGTTTTCTGTTGGATTCACAAGCCCAATTAAATAGGATTACAGCTATGTTAAAAAGCAAAGCCCAGAAAGAACCCATGGCTAGGAACAGGCCTGGGAACAATTTTTTGTGTGGCTTTCTTTGAATGAGGAGCAGCTCATGACACCCCCAGTGAGGACACAGCTCCCTGGTTGCCATTGCCAACCAGCCAGGCCCCAACACGGGCTCTTGGCCACCTTTCCAGCCACAACTCCAAGTGTGCCCCTGCACATGGCATCTTCTCAGATTCATCCTGTGCTCCCCGGAACTGACCTCCCAGGCCTCCATGCCTTCTCACGTGCCAGACCTTGGGATGCTCTTCCCACCTTCCGGGTTTGGGGAAACCCTACTTGCCTTCCAAGGCCTGGCTGACTTGTCTTCCTCACACAGCCCCCTCTCTCCACCCCTGCAGAGCTACAGGCAGCTATCACAGCCCAGTGCAGACCAGCACTTGCTCCCAGCTCTCTCTGCAGGAGCCGCTGGAGTTAGTTCTCACTTCAGACTCCTCTGCCATCCTCACAGGACTCAGCATGAAGAGTCCTCTCAGGATCTGCTGTGTGTGGATACCTGGATCAGGCGTCCGTGATCCCATCATCAGAATGAAGATCTAGGCCCCATATTCAGTAAAGCCAAGTAATCCATCCCTTCAGGATGACTCCCTCTAATAAACAAGGAACAAAGAATGCTGGTTTCTTCCTGGATTTGAGGCATATTTTATCTATCTGACTGTAATGTCCACAAACACAGGGACTAAATTTATTCACTTGCCCACAGTGCTAACAGTGCCTAGCCCAAGGCAGGTACTAATCAAGGTTTGTTGAAAGTATGAGGGTCTTATTTGCACTATTTCCCAGATGGTGCAAAATGCCTGGCACAGTTCACACTGACTGAAGCTATGCTGAATGAATGAATCCTGGTCTAAGTGGTAAAATGAGGCCATTTTCTTTATGCTAAAACCAAACCCGACAAAAGACTCCCTCAGAAGCGTGCACCTGCCTTCCTTCTCGGAGGCCCCCACCTCCACCCCTTTGTCTTGGCTTCTGTGTGAGACCCTGAGAAACAAAAAGCTGCTTTGTGTGACTGGAAGGAAAGGCTTCACAGAAATGCTAAACAACATTAACCTTTTCCCCCAATTGCATTTAACACACAGGGTGACTATAAACCTAGGGGGATCAGGAAGAAATCAGTTCGATATTCAGACAATAAACAAGGAAGAGACGCCTTCACATCTTCACCGTCCCGAGACCCACACATTTCCCCCCTTGAGAAGCGATTCAGAAACACCCATGCGGTGCCCCAGCCCCCTAAGGTGGCCCTTTCTTCTGTGCTGGTCAGTGATTCCCGGAGTGTGTACCCATGTGTGCGTGCCGGGAGCAGCAGTCACTGCGGCATCAATAAAACTGACTTACACCCGCACCTCTAAATGCCCAGTGCTGGTTCTTCGGAGACCAGGAATTTGTCAATGTTGCCTTCATGTCAACCTGGCTCTCCTAGGAGTCTCAAAGCTACATGAACCCAGAAAGAGATTCTCTTGATGTGCCCCTCTCTGTGTTCTCTGAAGATGACCAGAAACAATCATAAAAAAGGAACAAAGGGATTACAAATTAATCTGCCCTCGCTGGCTCCTCTGACTACAATGATACGATTACAAACCCAGGATTTGCAAGAGACCTAAATTCCTCATTAATCTTCACTATCGTTTCTATCACTGTTTTGTTTTTTTTTTCTTTCTCTAAGCTCCTTTCTTAGGCAGGGAATGAGGGGGAGCTATGTTCTTTCTTCCCTCAGCAGTAACTGAAAAATATGTCCTTAACATTTCAAAAAAGCAGATCATCCCTGTGCTATAACCACTAAAGCGTGGAGGTGAAATGGCACGGGTGTCCTTTATGTCACCATCTGTCTACGTTAATGAATAGAAGCGTGGATAACCTAAACTCGTGGTTTCTCTGGATAGCATAAATCTGATAATCCAGAAACATTCCAGAGTCTAAGAATTTCTAATTTCTTTACATGACACTTGCTTTGGTATAGCATGTTTTGACTGTTCAGCAGCAGGCTGTGAGTGAGCTCTAAATTGCGTTTTGTGGGAGCCTCTGCTCTCTGGCCATCTGGAGCTGGGTCCTGCGGAAAGAACAGGTCCTGCTATCTTCCTGCCAGGCTCACTCCATGGGTCAGTGCTACAGTGTCATCAAAAAGCAGTGGGGCTTTTCTCCTTCTCTTTCCTAGATAGGTCTGCAAACTCCATTTGCGCAGTGGCACTGCCAGTGACATTTCTGCCCTGGGAACCATAGACACATACTGCCACTGAGAGAGGAGAGATTCTGTGAGCTGGAGGGGGACTGAAGCATTTAGAACAGCTGCTACTTACATTAATTCTGGCATACAGTTCATGGTGGCTCCTTGTCTACATACATGGTGGCTCCCAGTTCTGCTTTTCCCTGGCTGAATACCTGTCCGTGTTCTTCCAACTCAAGCTCAGCAGAAAGCTGAGGATGGCTTTGGAAAGCAAAGCAGGTGAAGTTTCCCCAAACGGTGTCAAAAAAGCCTCCAATCCCAGGCCCATTTCTGTGAGGCCCTGCTCTTACCTGGGTATGGCACTCTTCCTTTGGTGACCAGCTCTGTGAGTAAGATTCCAAAAGACCACACGTCAGACTTGATTGTGAACCTCCCATACAGGGCTGCCTCAGGGGCTGTCCACTTGATGGGGAATTTTGCACCTGCAGAATGAACACCTGGTTATTCATCAGGCAGAGGACACTGCACTGGGTATGGGGTGCGGGAGGGAAAGGCACTTGCAAGCCACTTTCATGAGAGCAGGTTTATAGGGGAGGATAGAAAGGAGGTGAAGCAGGAATGGACTGGGATTGGGAAGATGTAGGGTCTGGTCTTGGCTGTGTGACCTTAAGTAATCCAGCTTAATTTAAATTTTCCTATCAAAGTACCTTAATACCTCAATAAAAGGCGGAAGAAACCCTGGTTTCTTGTGATTTAGGAAAATATATATATATATTTAACTCTGAAATAATGCTATGTTTCAATAAACATACATAAAATTTAGTCATAATGCTGGTCTCATGAGTCCTCTGGTATGTAAGACAGTTTGATCTCACCAGGTAGACAAAAATCAGATTAAACAACTGAGCTGCTCCCAGGGTGGGGACGACTGGATACAGCCCATGTGTTCTGCTGAAATGGGTGAGATTTCCCAAAGGCCTCCCACACCCACGGTAGGGAAAGTAATCTGCCTCTAGCCCCTTCTATCTCCACACTTGTGGTCTTTCCTCCATTCTTTCTCCCTGTGGAGGCCATCTTTATTCCTGGGATAGTTTTTTCTTCTGTAATATCACTTTCTTACCATCTTACTTTTCTCCTCTCAGCCAGAAAGAGTACTATTTAATGTTTGTTTTGTAAAGAGCAGTTTCGCCTCCATGACTGTCTTATGAGTCTCTGACTTTTCAAGACCCAAGGTGCAAATTCATGCCAAAGTCAGTGGAGTCTTTTCTTTCAAAAATTGATCTGATCATTGAAAGAATCCTCTCTCTAACCAAAAAGAAGGGTGTGGTCCACCTGGCTTTTTACAAGCTTGATGTATGTGCAGGGAATTAAAAGGGATTCAGGCTGGGCATGGTGGCTCATGCCTGTAATCGTAGCACCTTGGGAGGCCAAAGCAGGCCAATCATTTGAGGTCAGGAGTTTGAGACCAGCCTGGCCAGCATGGTGAAACCCTATCTATACTAAAAATACAAAAAATACAAAATTAGCGGGGCATGGTGGCATGAGTCTGTAGTCTCAGCTTCTCGGGAGGCTGAGGCAGGAGAATCGCTTGAACCTGGGAGGTGGAGGTTGCAGTGAGCCAAAATCTCTCCATTACACTCCAGCCTGGGTGACAGAGAAAGACTCCATCTCAGAAAAAATAAACTTAAATAAAATAAAGTAAAATAAAATGAAAGGGATTCAGCAGCTTGTGCTCTCAAACATTCAGCTCAGCAATTATAAAGCAGTTCCAGTTATTTTACTGAGCAAACTAAAAGAGAAACACAAAGAATTTTTTATTACGTATGTAAACACAATTACATGCTTAAAGCATGTTCATTCTGATTAAGAAGCTCCTAAAAATCATACAAAGGCTGACAAAATCAGAAAGTTTCATAGAATCTTCCATAAAGTCAGTATGTGCAAAAGTGATGAATGATTAAAATATTTAAATTGGCACGGTTTTAATAGCCAGTGGTATGATAAATTACAGCAATTAGATTTTTGTCTTAAATACAGCATATGATAACATCTTTAGTAAATCTACCCCGGCATTTTCAGGCAATATAATTTTCCTCTCCATCTCTCATGTGTCTGTGTGAAATGAAATGAAAAAAAAAATCCTACTATTTCATTATGAGGCATCTCACATAAACACTGGAGCAGAAAAGTTATTCTATAGTTTTCTTTTCCTTTTATGCATGGAGTTATTTTTAATTAGCTATGTTTCTCAGGCATAATTATTTATATCTTTCCTTATGTGCTAGATGATTCCACATAAGACCGGGGATTCTCTGAATAGTCGTTTTGTTTTTAAAGTTTCTTTCACAGCATTCTTCTCACACTTCCTATCCTTGAGCATTCTGTTCACGCAGCTTTGGACTTTGAGCCACTGGGATTAATGTGATAGATTTTCTTCAGTGTTGAGTGCAGACTTTGCCCTGGACCAAACCTCAGCTGGAGTTCTCTTACTTCAGAGAATTAAAGGTATACCACATTCATTCCTATTTAAACCATCTCTTGAGCCAAATTGCTTGGAAATCTCTGACCATCTCTGAAGTAAATGGAACATTCTTCTCTGCTGTGCAGACAAATCCTGTAAATGAAATGACAACCAAAGGAGCTGTTTCCCCTTCTTTGAATCATTCAACATTGATGAAGGTGTGTGTGTTGCTGAAAGTGACTATTTAAAATTTGGATACAGTCATGTGAGATTTTCCAAGGGCTTTCACAATTTCCGATTTAAAAAACCAATGGCAGTATCAGTCAGTTGCATTAGTTAGCTTTATTCTTTTCTCATATTATAATATACAATAAGGATTATAATATGTAAACCTTCAAAAAAATGTTAAAACAAAGGCTATATAATGTAAGGAATCTGTGAAAGGAAGTCATTTGGAGATACGTGCTCTGACTTACCACCAGTCGGAACTTACTAAAATTTATTTTATATTAGTTTCCTTTCTAAGACAAAGAATATATTTGCACCAAACAATGTATTTGGAGGAATAAAAACTAACGTCTTTGTCCAACTTCTGCTGCTTCTCTGTCTTAAAATAGCAGCCGCATTTGACAAAAGAAGCTTCTTTATAGATAACTCATTTTCCTTTCCAAGGAAGACAAAAGGTTAAATCAAAGCAGCAATAAGGTATTAATGATTAACTGAGATTTCTACTGAAAAGAAGCTAATCCCTGCTTCCTCTTTTACACATCTCATTACCTCTGTTTCCCCTTATCTTGATTTCCCACCTCCTGAGGGTACAAAGCTATTGGCCTTAAAATGCAGCTCTAAATGTGGTGGAGTTAACTGGGGATTTTTGGCAGGTGTTTTTACACATAGCCATGCAGGCTGCACAATGTAAAACCCCAGTCTATGAAAACAGCACCCCTAAGGCTGTGTAGTACATAACCTATACAATCCCACAGGTGTCCCTGCTGCCAGGCTGCTGCAGTGGGCTCTGTAAGTTAGGAGACTTCAGACACCTTGAAGGAAGGAACTTCTGGGTGTAAATGATGCCTTTCCCTTGAAAGTAAAGTTCTGACCCTTAGGTTTTTTCACAGATATCGTGACAGGCATAAAGTCAGAATCAAAGTTGTCTTCTAAGTAGTATGGACTTACAGAAAAATGGAGAAAATGTCAGAAGAACTGCACTGCAGTTAACTTGATATTGTTATGTAACTAGCTGATTCATTCTTTGAAATTCTTCTGCTTGGGAGCAGGATTTAGATATGAAAACAATTTTCTCCTCTTCGCATTTTATTTAGAGGAAACAGAGCAAACTATGCAGGTAATGATCATCTATGTCACTGATGCCTTGAGCTTTACTTTAACACTTAGTGTGTTTGTTTCATGTTTACATGAATTAAGAAAAAGAAGTTATCACCGTATTTTTCATCTCTTACTGAATTTGCTTAACAGTTTAGGATTCTTTTAAGCCAGTACGCAAAGGCCATAATGTGTGTGTGTGTGTGTGTGTGTGTGTGTGCGTGTGCGTGTGCGTGTGTGTACTTGGAAGCATCTTTTCCGCTCAATACTTTCCAGGTACTATTTGCAAATTTTACCAAACTCCCAAGGGAAACTCATTGCTGAAACTTTGACTTGTCACGGTGAAAACTTGACAACCTGGTGTTGTCACTGGTGCCCATGTCCTAGAACTTCCAGGTAAGAGAATCTTTGTACCTTAGTCATTTAACTCCCAGGACCAGTTAGCCTTAGGCTGAATCATTCCTGCGATGAATAAATATGTTGATGTTTTAAATAATTTCTGACATACACCTCAATCCTGTTTCTCTGAATTCTGTTGAGATATGAAACAAATGGTCATAAACTCTGCGTAATGTCAAGGATCTTATTCACTCCCATGGCTCCAGTGACTATCTTGACTGCAGCGATGCTTGTGTTTATATCACCAGATGAGACCTCTCTCGAGTCCCTGACTTGCATAACCAATTTCCTTCTCAACTGTCTCTCCATCATCACAACAGAGACACAACTGAGAAGCAAATTAGTTATGCAAGTCAGCACCCCTCAAATGCAACATCCAAAATTTATCTTCCCCATAATTTGGCTTCTCAATCCTTGCTGACTTTGTAAACCACCCAGTTGGTGATAACAGAATCCCGAGAATCACTGTTGCCTGGACATTCTATTTTTCCTCACTGTGCACTCAGATCCCAGCACAAGGCCTGTCTATAGAAGAGGTCAATAGTCTTTACTGAATGAGCTGTGGCACCCCCCCTGCTTTGTCCCTGACCATGTCAGGTCCATTACATCCTGACCATTTCATACTCTTGAATTCACTACCCTCACTCTAGTCCTCACTGGCTCGGCATGCCCCCCCTGGGTTTCTATAGTCGCCTTCTAATAGAATCTACCTGAATAATCTGGTCCCTATCTACTTCCCCAGCTTCCTCTTATCATCCCAGACTTGTTCTCCTCTGTCCTCTACAACCTCTCCATTGCCCTTCTTTGACTGCTTTGCAAATGCCAAGCTCTTAGCTGCTTCAGGCACAGGCTATTTCCTTTGTCAGACTCCTCGTCTCATGGCTAATTCTTCTCCGTTGCTCCTAGCCAAAGCATTACTCGCACAGGGAGCCTTTGCCTGATCACTGAAGACTGGGGTAGCTTTCCTACTTCTATGCTGCCAAAGCACCTCCCTTTTTGTAGTTGTTACTATTTTTTTTCCCAGCAAATATTGCTTAATGAAGCTGTTACTATTATAGTGCAATGAATGCATGAATTGTCTGAAGGCTGTCTCCGTCCACAGATAAATGCCGTGCTTGAGTGCTGGAGCATGTCTTCCTGGATGGCCACCATATCTCCAGTACTGAACACAGTGTCTGGAGCACAGAAAGCACTTGATAAACAGGTGCTGAATGAATGAATGAGTAGCTGGACAGCCCTTCCAGCCCTTCTCATTTTGGCTGAATAACCAAGTTCCTTACAGAGCTTATTATCAGTGCC